AAAGACCAAAACAGCTGAAAAACCATACCCTTTGGGGCCACACATACCTACACTGTGTATAGCTCATAAAAGGGAGCACTCCCCCCCCACCCAGGGTCTCTTGCCTCTGCTTCATTGTACATGTAGAAAATGTTCACATGCCAACAAAGCTGATACATGTACATGTACGTAATGCCCGCCCAAAATATCGCTCTTGCTTGCAAGTCCAAAAGGTCCATGTATAGGTAATAGCTGCACTGTTTAGATTTTCACAATTTTATTTATTTCCTCGGAAAGATCAGATCATTACATTGGAGAAACAAAAGTGCGTATTAATAAATTTTGCGACAAAAAGTACCTGGGCAAATGCTTGAAGTAGCCAGTGACTTGCGCAGGGCGCTGGCTTACATGTATTTGGAAAACCCTGACTTAGTGAATTCAATGCTGGGGACTAACCCTGCTACAGACTAGCATCCCATCTAGGGGGTGGAGGGAGAGGAGAAATACTTTTAATCACTTTATACTTCCAAAAGCTGGGATGTTTTGGATTGTTGGGCCTGACACAGATTCTACCCTTCCTTCTTTTGTCAAACCTCTTAATTTTAATTGTGAAATTTGTAAAATTGAAGAGATTTAGCCTGTCATAAAGGTTAAAACATTTCCTGTTTCTTTACTACATATAGATACAAAACATAGAAGCAGCAATGAAAGTACAATGTATGTGCCAAGACTTGAGTGGAAAAAGAATTACATTGAGGCATTGGATTCCATATAGAGTGAGTCACAATTTGTTTTAACAAATTGTGACTCAAACACAATTAAAATTGTGTTTGGTTTCATGTACATGTACTAGACATGACAGTGCACAATGCAGGCGGAAATTGTTAAACAAACAGAGATGTTACTGTCTCACTGCTTAACTTTTTAAGAAACTGTTGTTACATGTGTGTGGCCATACACCTTAGCCCTTCAGGAGAAGAGTGTACAAAAATTCTGTAGAACTGCAATGCCTCAGGGGAACAGTTGACAAGTATTCTTTTATAAGAGGATCGGGGAGGGACACGGTAATCTAATGTTAAGCACATTGGACTGCAGATCAAGAAATCTACATTTGAGTCAATAGTTAGGATCTCTGTGTTGTGTTATAACTTAAGACACTTAACTCTCACACTACCTCTCTCCACCTAGGTGTACATACAGGTTTCAAGTAAATTTGTTAACCTGGCGACAGACTTACATCCCATCCCATTCCATCATTGTCAAACCCTCCTCCTGTAAGGTTGAAACTCTTAAAATATCTAATGATTTTTTTTTTTACATCACGTAGTACTGTGAAATAGGCAGACAAGCATCCCATGAATCCACAGGGGGAGTAGAACTTCTCAATATCAATTATTAGAAAACAGCCCTAACAAAATATGTGCACTGAGTGGTTAAAAATCATGTTTCTTTAGCTCAATAGAGACACAGAACTAGCACAAGCTGTCAATGTAATGATGGCACAAACAAAGAGAATTTACATTTTGATAATCAAAGTTAACAAGTTGTTTTCCCTTTTATCGTCGCGGTGTTTTCTAAAAGAAATAGAAAACATGTTCTCTGTGTTTCTATCGAGTTATAGAAACACTTGTGAAAGTTTGGGAGAACTCGAAATAGCTGTGGAAACACTTGCCTGCGGCTCGTGTTCCCACAGCATTTCTCGTTCTCCCAAACTTCCACTTCTGTTTCTATGACTCGATAGAAACACAGTACATGTTTTCTATTTCTTTTAAGAACATTTAAAAAATGTGACAGACTGTGGTGATTTAGATCACTTGGCCTGATGCAGACTTTACCTTAACCTTCATACATGTACATGTACTGTAGTCCAAACTCACCTTAGTGGGGTTAAACCTTAAAAAATCTGACGACTTATTTGTAATTGTGTAGGTTGTAAAACTTAAGAGATGAAGGGTGTAATAATAGCTTGACACAGTTCCCATTTCTTACTAGATGCAAACCAGAAAGCTGTGCTGTGTGCTCAGACTTGTGTGGAGAAAGATTCATATTGAAGCAATAGATACCATATCAGGTGAGTCTTTGTGTCTTTTTGTGTGTGTGT